GTCCGTGTTGATCTGCTGGCTGTACTTCCGGTGCGAGGTATACATTTGTTTCACGACGTGCGCAGAGCGAGCGCTCTTTCATTTGTTCTGCTCACGTTTCCGGTCCTTTGTTGGAGGCGAGGGCTTGCCCTTGTTCGTTTCACTTCGAAAGTGGCGTGCGGGGGGTCCGGTCTAGATGCCTCCGCTTCTTTACAGTCAGTCGTCGCTGACCGTTGCAGTATAAGGTTCTTCAGAATCATGTTGTTGCAAATTTAAGCTTAGATCTGTCATGAAGGTATTTTCACAGCCTGGCTTTGGTCTTTAGACAGAAAGGACTTAGTTTGTCATAAGTAAAGCAGAACCAGTTGAACTACAACTACAGAAAGACTAAGGGTGTCAGTGAGCGTTAAGAAACAGAAGAACACGCGCTTATGGATGGCCTGGTGGCATTATCATGTCGGAACACTGCGGAACATCGCTTCAACCTTATTTTGTCATGAATTGTCTTTGGATGCCTAACAGATACCCTTCATAACTTTCGTTATATATGAAGTATCCAAACGGATAAAAATAACAATCGTGGCGAAACGGTTTGGCTTATAACAGGGGATTGCATTGCTAAACGGTATACCGTTAAGTTATTATTCAGCATATAGGATAGCCGTAAAACATTTTCATAAACCATAAAGCAATTTGGTAACGAAACGTTGATAACCAGAGTTGACAGTCTGCTACTGTTCATTTAAAAATATATCAATTCAGTATATGACGATGACATGCCGTGTGCAAACTCGGACGAAAAATCTGAGGGGGAACCATCTGTGTTATCTGCTAGATGCCCAAGGCGATATTCGTCTGTCACCTTATGCAACCCACATCGAGCGCATGCTTCACTTTGAACTTTTTTCAACCGACTGCTGATACTGAATGATACCGGGGGGATGTGTTTCTGGTCAGGGTGGCCACAGACGGATGCATATCTGCCCTAGCGTTGATTGCGCAGAATCCGTTCAGAAAAACCCACTGTCTCCGAGCCTTGTGACCCACATAATCTTCAGAGTGTAGTAGATTTACGTTATTCATAAACACATCGTTTTGTTGATGAGTCAATCAACTTTTTGCTTAAAATTTCGATTGTTGTTGTTGTCTTTTATTTCTGGCGATTTGTACGGCAACTCCTTGCGGTTTCTAACCTTCTCCATCTAAACGCGGCCTTCCTGACACCTGATATAATCTACGTACTTGCATGATGAGCGATCAAGCGGGTTAGTTCACCCTCGAGGATATCAGTTGAAGATCGTATGCCTACTATCTCTCGCCGATGAGCCGATCTACATGACTGGCCCACTGTAGCTTTTCCTATCTGCTTTCGACGACGACACCACACCCGTCCGCTGTTTGATCATCGCATTAAAATTGCGGTCGCCACGTGAGATCCCCAACATTCTTGTTTCAGTCGCTTTCTCCATGACACAGATCTGGCGCTCTTCCTCT